TGACATACTGCCAGAGAGTCAACAGTAGCTTAACACTACATCATAGCTCTTATTCACCTCACTTCATCTCCTGGTGAAGGCATGTATCACCTCATGTCATCACAAGAAGAAAGTTGGGTGCAGTACAGTAAGATATTTTGAGAGAGAGACCACATTCACATTACTTTTATAGTGTTAGAATTATTCTACTTCATTATTAGTGATTGTTATTAATCTCTTACTGTGCCTAACTTACAAATTAAACTTCATTACAGGTAAGTGTGAGTAAGAAAAGACACTGTATAAGGCGCCTGAGTGGCTCAGTCAGTTAAGCCTCTGACTCTCAGTTTTGGCTCAGGTCATGGTCTCACAGTTTGTTTGAGCCCCACATCGGGCTCTGTGCTGATATAGCATGGAGCCTGCTTGGGATTCTGTCTCCCTATCTCTCTGCCCCTTTCCCACTCGTTCTGTCTCAAAATAAATAAATAAAAATTAAAAAAAAAAAAGTATATATGATTCAGTACTATCTGTGGTTTCAGATATTCACTGGATGTCTTAAAATGTATCCCCAATGGATAAAAGGGGATGGGGGAGGGGGGTACTACTGTGCAATGAAATGAAAAATGCAACAGAGAGCTTCAAGAGCAGGCTCAAGTAAGACAGAAAAAAAAAAATCTTGAGAACCTGAAGACAGATCTCTTGATATTATCCAGTCAGAGGATAAATTAATTAGAAAGACAAGAGTGGAGAGAGGACAGCACAGACACAGCCTGTGGACAGATGGTGGCAGAACCTTGGGCTGGGTGGGAGGCTCACCCAGAGAAAGCAAGGCAGCAAGAGAGAAGACCCTTGGAGCTTATGGTTCAGGCCACCTACACCTCCTCCTGGAGTGGAGATGACACAGCCCACGGAGGACCGGCCACCTCGGCAATCCCGCACCCAGATGGGCACCCGAGTACAGCACTCTGCCACTTCCTGAAGTACCACGGGCCAAACGCCCTCCCTTCCAGGTCCCTGAGCTCAGGATGAGGACCCGAAGGTCTGAGCAGAGGGAGGTGTGGGACCCCTTGGTGTGCAGACTGGTGTGCGCACTGTGCTGGGTAGGGACCAGGTGCAGAAAGCTACTTCACTGGGGATTCCCTCATGCCTGCTACTGTCAGTGCACAGCCTGCTTTGGATCCTCTGTCCCTGTTTCTCCACCACTGTCCTGCTTGTGTGCTTGTGTTCTCTCTCAAAAATAAACATTAAAAAAGAAAGAAAGAAAAAACTCTCAACTGTCAACCAAGAATACAGCAAAGCTGTCCTTTAGAAATGGAGAGATACAGACTTATCCAAACAAAAACAGAGAGAATGTATCACCACTAGACCTGCCTTACAAGAAATGCTAGAGAAATGCTTAACTTTTGAAGTTCAGTTGTTATCAGCTTGCTTAAACAAGACTGCTGTAACTATGAGATGTACCATGAAAGTCTCATGGTAATCACAAAGCAAAAACCTGTAACAGATACACAACTGATAAAAAGAAACCATGCTACTACAAAAAATCATCAACTCAAAAAGAGAGGAAGGAAAAAAAAACTACAACATAATCAGAAAGCAATGAACAAAATGGAAATATTAAGCCCTTATTTATCAATAATTATTCTAAAAGTAAATGGTTTAAATTCCAATTAAAAGACACAGAATGGCTAAATGGATATAAAAACAATACCTAAGTATATGTTCCCAATAAGAGACTCACTTAAGCTTTCAAGGCACTCAGAGGCTACAAGTAAAGGGATAGAAAAAGATATTCCATGCAAATGGAAAACAAAAATACGTTGATAGAATGATAAAAAGGGCCAATTCATCAAGAGTATTTACCAATTATAAATATATATGCACCTAATATTGAACACTTAAATATATTACACAATTATAAACAGATCTGAAGGCAAAAACAAACAGCAATGCACCAGTAGAGGATTTCACTAACTCACTTTTAACAATGGACAGATCATCCAAACTGAAAACCAATTAAGGAAATAATGGACTTGAGTGATACTTTACACGAAATGGACCTAACAGACATATACAGAATACTTCAACCAAAAGCAGCAGAAAAACATTCCTCTCAAGCACACACAGAACACTCTCCAGGATAGACAATATGTTAGGTCACAAAATAAGTCTCAACTAATTTAAGACTGAAATCATATCAAATATCTTTCTGACCACAATGGTAAGAAACTACAAATCAATGACAGGAAGAAAGTTGAAAAAGTTCACAAATATGTGGAAATTAACAACACTTCTGAACAACCAATGGATCAGGGAAGGAATCAAAAGAGAACTCAAAAAAGGTCTTGAAACAAATGGTGTATATATATATATATAATGGATTATTATTCAGACATAAAGAAAAAAAGAAATGCTACCATTTGCAACAGTGTGGATGAAACTGGATGGCTGAGTGAAATAAGCCAGATGGAAAAAACAAATACTGTACGGTATCACTTATATGAAGAATCTCAAAAAAAAAAAAAGGGCAACGATTTCATAGAAATTAACAGAATAGTGGTTGCCAAGGGCTAGGGATGAAAGAAACAGGGTAATATATAGGCCAAAGGGTACAAATTTTCGGTTATAAGAAGAGTAAGCTCTTAGGATTTAATGTACAGCACACTATCGTTAATAATACAGTACTGTGTACTTAAAAGTTTCTGAGAGTAGCCTTAAGCATGCTCATCAAAAACAACAAAAAGTTCACCAAATGAGGTGATATGATCTTGGTAATCATTCCACAATGTATATCATATCATCACACCTACACTTTAAATATATACACTTATATTTGCCAATTATTCCTCAATAAAATTTTAAAAAATGAAAAGCATCACCAAATAAAATACCAGACTGAGTGAAAAGGATATCGAGAGCTTATTAGTGTTAACGGTCTTAAAAAGAAATACAGTAAGTTTGCCAGTACTTGGATTACTTTACAAAAAAGAAAAATCGACAAAGAAATTAGAAGTCTTAAAAAAAACAGAGGTTCCTGGGTGGCTCAGTCAGTTAACTATCGACTCTTGACTTTGGCTCAGGTCATGATCTCGGTTTGTGAGTTCGAGTCTCTATGTCAGGCTACTACCAGTGCGGAGACTGCTTGGGATTCTCTCTCTCCCTCTCTCTGCCCCTCCCCTGCTCATGCTCTCTCTGTCAAAATAAATAAATAAAACATTAAACATTTAAAAACAAACAAAACAAGAAGGTAATGTAATATTTCTTTGCTGTTCCCAGACTTCCCAATTGCAATTTCAGCTGTTGATGGTCAACAGAAGCTGGCAAAAGATAATTATGGTTTTGCTATGGCATGAATTTGAATTCTAAAGTAAGGTGGCTATGTGGAAAAAATCACCTAAAACATGTACCAATGGACCTCCTGGCATTCACATCTCAAAAGTGATTTGCTATTCTCTACTACTCTGCCCTGGCCCAGTAACTCGATAAAGATATGAAGGAAATTCTTTGAAATTTTCAGTAATTCTTTATGGTCTGTTATATGGCATTATTTGGGATTCACAAAAATCTCAGCACATATCCATTTCATCCCAAATTTTACTGCATAAATGTAAAACATCTAGATTTCCTTGTTTTACTACAATCCATATCAGTGTGTCTAAGGATAAGGACATCATATTCCCTCATGTCTTCTATTATCCACTTGTTATTCCTTATTCTTACTTTGTAACTACTACTCAAAGGCAGAATTCTCATTCCTTCGACAGCTTTGTGGAGAGAATTCTCAGACTGAGAAAAATGCCTCCTTTTTTCCAATCACCAGGATTAGAAACCTTGACAAAATTCATTTAATTAATTTATAAATCATTAAAATAAGGTAGCATCATAATTACAAATAGAAAGTAAAAGAAAAGCAAATTGTTCCATGAAAGCTATAGAGGGAAATTCAATTCAGAAAATATTTTTAGCTTCTAGATAAGAGTTTTACTTTTTCAACTCCATGAACATACTTACATTTTTAGAATGAGTTAAGAATTAACAGTGGAACTATGTAAAATCAACTTTTAATAAAAACATAAGAAATGTTAAAAAGCAAAGTTTGACTTTATTAACCTTACTCATAATGTTGAATACAAATGCAAAATTAAGTGGTGACCCTTATTTTTAGTCTATTTCAAAGCACAGTCTCTTAGATTTAAGAATTAGGGCAGATATATGTCACAAGAGGGAGGGAAACCAAAAAACCAAGTAAAAAAAAAACAACCCACTGATATGTTTATGTGTTCTAAAGTTCGAGGTACAGCCCTTAAATTCTTTTAAATGGTATTTTCTTCTGACTTTCCATTAATCTCACCAGTAACTGAATTTTTAACAAGACCCTATAATCTACCACACAAGTCTCCCAATTATAAACTGAAAAGAAATATGGGCAGATAAGTGTACCAAGTACTTTATGAAATTCACTATGCACAGGTGAACTTCACATACAGACTTCAAAAATCAAAAGGACTATTATATTCTTAAAACCCAAAGGCTAGATAAGGCCTTCCAATCTTTTCTGCACTCTTAGAAATAACTTGATCTAATGATGTTAATGTAGAAATACATTATATATTTTAATATCAATTAGATAGGAAATTCAAGTGGAGAGCCAATAAAGCATCTGCATTTTAAAACCAAAAGGGACTTGGGGCGCCTGGGTGGCTTAGTCGGTTAAGCATCCGACTTTCGCTTAGGTCATGATCTCGCGGTTCGCGGGTTCGAGCCCCGCATTGGGCTCTGTGCTGACTGCCAGCTCAGAGCCTGGAGCCTGTTTCAGAGTCTGTGACTCCCTCTCTCTCTGACCCTCCCCTGCTCATGCTGTCTCTCTCTTAGAAATAAATAAAACATTAAAAAAAAAAAAAAATAAAACCAAAAGGGACACATCCTGGACACCTTAAATTACAAAATTCTCACTTCTAAGCAGGAACTGTTACTGTGTAACAAATACTGCTCATATTAAAAGTGCTGGTGAAAAAAAGAGTTTAAATGTTTAAGGTGCTTAAATTTTGCACTGCACTGCAGGACTAATTCAATAAGTATTCATCTGCTACCTCTTTGTAGTAACTCCAGTTAGAGTGAATGATCCATGGGCAAAGGGCAAAAATGCTGTTATTTTCTAGAATGTGGCATTTGTGGAGCTGGAGTGCCCTCTATTGGTAACGAAGAAGACACACTCATTAGCTGTCCTGCATGCATTTTCTCATTAATTCGGAGTTCACATCCATCTTGAAGCATTCGAACTGCTATTCTGGCAATGTTCTTAGAGTCGTCAAGACCACTGTGAGGCCGTCCATCATAATCCATTCCTAGCTTTTCAAGCATTATTGTCAATTTGGTTTGGCTTCTAGGAACCTGAAAAATAAACACTTAGTAAATAATTCTTTAGAATTCTATAAATCACTGTGAAAAATAAGAAATTGAAAATTAACGGTAATAGCTAAAGTTAGGCAAAGGACAAATACTCTTGATTAAATGAAGCAAATAAATAACTCAGCCCTTCAGAGCTTAAAAAAAAATGAAGTTATAGATGAAAACACCTATCAACATATGGAATCCTCAAGACATCTAAAGAATCCGCAGTTTTGTACTTTGACAAATCATTTATGAAAGGAAATGGATTGTTCTAACATCTAAGTTAAAGCTCTTACCATTTTAATCCAAACATTCTTTTGTACAGTATTTTACTGCAATGTGTTGTTTTACTTGACAGACTCCTTCAGCAGACATGCCAAAAAAATCTAGCCTTTCTATGACTAAAGATAATAAAGATCAGGGTGCCCGGGTGGCTCAGTCGGCTGAGTGTCTGACTTGGTTTTGGCTCAGGTCATGATCTCACGGTTCTGTGAGTTCAAGCCCTGTGTTGGACATTGTACTGACAACACGGAGCCTGCTTGAGATTCTCTCTCTCCCTCTCCCCCACTTACATTGTCTTCGTCTCTCTCAAAAATAAAAAAAATAAACTTAAAAAAAAAGATGAAGATTATGAAAAACATTATCATGTGGTATTTTTCAACCTATTTACATATAAATATTTAAACTTATTTAAATATTTGAAAAATATAAAATCCCACACCCCAAATTTCAATACCCCTCCACTTTTGAAAAGCACCATCCTATCTTCTGTATATCACTACTGGGAAGATTTGTGAAGTTTTGCTTTCTGTAGTCTGTAATCTATGTCACCTATGAATCTTGGGGCCTCAGCTTCTTTACCTGTAAAATAAGAGTAGGGGCACCTAAGTGGCTCAGTCATTTAAGTGACTGACTCTTGATTTCAGCTCAGGTCAGATTCTCAACAGTCATGAGATCAAACCCCATGTTGGGCTATGTGCTGATCGTGGAGCCTGCTTGGGATTCTCTCTTCCTCTCTCTGCCCCTCCCCCACTCATGTGTGCTCTCGCTTCCTCAAAAATAAACTTTAAAAAATAAAATTAGACTAATAGTTACACTATTTACTCATTGGGTTATTGGGAGAATCACAAAGCAAATGATATAAAAGAACCATGAGGAACATCAATAATTACCCTAAGCTGGAATACTGCAATGCCTTCTGGTCCTTTCAATAAATATCACCTAGAAAATGTGCTTCCAAAAATAACTTTTCCAACACACTGAATACCTTAGGTGAAATGGACTATCTCTAGACACACAACCCACCAAGATTGAACTGTTAAGGAAACAAAACCTGAACAGACCTACAATATGTCAGGAGGACTAAAGAACTGGTAATCAAAAACCTCCCAACCAAGAGAAGCCCAGGACCAGATGGCTTCACTGGTGAATTCTATAAAACATTTAAAAAAGTACTAACACTGATCCTTCCCAAACTCTTGCAAAAAACTGAAGAGGGAACACTTCCTAAATCATTTAGTGAGGTCAGCATTACCCTGATATGGAGGCCAGACAAAGACACTACGAGAAAACTAAAGACCAAGATCCCTTATAAATACTGATGCAAAATTCCTAAACGATACTAGCAAACCAAATTTAGCAGCATATTAAATGGATTATACACCATGAACAAGTGGGATTTAGTCCTAGAAAGCAAGGATGGTTCAACATACAAAAAACAATCAAGGTAACAAACCACGCTTACAGAATGAAAGGAAAAAAAACAAAACGTGATCATCTCAATTGATACAGAAAAAGCATTTGACAAAATTAAACACTCTTTCATGATAAAACCTCTCAACAACCTAGGAAGAGAAGAAACCTACCTCAAAATAATAAAGTCCAAAGAGAAGAAATCTACCTCAAAATAATAAAGTCCATATGTAAAAAATTTACAGTAAACATCATACTCAATGGTGAAAAGACTGAAAGCTCTTCCTCTAAGATCAGGAACAAGATAAGGATGCCCATTTTCCCCATTCAAATTAGTTATCAGAAGTTCTAACCAGAATAAGCAGGCAAAAAGAATAAAAGGCATCTGCACTGAAAAGGAATAAGTTACTTATGTTTGTAAGTGTTGTAATCTTATATTTAGAAAATTCTGAAGATTCCACAAAAAACTGTCAGAACTAATAAGCAAAGACACCAAAGTCACAAGATACAAAACCAGCACACAAAAATCAATTGCGTGGAGCCCGGGGGACCCAGGCACTTAAGGATCCGACTCATAATTTCAGCTCAAGTCATTATCTCACGGTTCATGCCTTGAGGCCCTGCATAGGGCTCTGCACTATCAGCTTGGGATTCTCTCTCCCCTTCTCTCTCTGCTCCTCCCCTGCTCACACCTGCATATGCTCTCTCTCTCAAAATAAAAAAACTTAAAAAAATCAGTTGCATTTCTATACAGTAACAGTGAACAATCCAAAAGAAATATTTTTTTAAATTCCATTTTCAGTAGCAAAAAAAAAAAACCTTTAACTGAAGAAGTCTGAAAGACTTGTATATCGAAAACTTCAAAATGCTGCTGAAAGAAATTAAAGACAACGTAAGTTAAACGTGAAGGCATGTTCATAAATTGAAAGATTTAATATTGCTAAGCAATCAGAAATACCTAACACTGCACTAAATACCTACAAATTCAATGCAGTCACTAGCAAATCATTAACTCAAAATGGATCAAAGACTAAACCTAAGAGTCAGAACTACAAAATTCTAAGAAAACCAAAGGGAAAAGTTTCATGACACTGGATTTGGCAATGGTTTCTTGGATATGACACCAAAAGCAGAGGCAACAAAAGAGAAACTAGATAAACTGTACTTCATAAAAATTTAAAACTTTTATATATAAAAGGACATATTATCAACAGGAAAAGGCAACCCACAGAATGGAAGAAAATATTTGGAAATCATAGATCTGAAAAAGGATCAATATCCAGAATATACAAATAATTCCTTAAACTCAACAATGAAAAAAAAATTGCTTGATTTCAAAATGGGCAAAAAGACTTACACAGACATTTCTCCAAAGACATACAAATGTGCCAATAAGCACATGAAAAACTGCTCAACATCACTAGCCATTCTGGAAATACAAATCAAAACCACAATAAGATACTACTTCATACCCACTAGATGGCCATTATTAAAAAAAAAAAGAAAAAGAGTAAAAGTGGGGTGCCTGGGTGGCTCATTTGGTTAAGTGTTGGACTTTGGCTCAGGTCATGATCTCAGGGTTTGTGTGTTCGAGCCCTGTATCGGGCTCTGTGTTGTCCGCACACAGCCCACTTTGGATCCTCTGTTCCCCCCACTCCGCTCTCTGCCCTCCTTCTGCTGACATACAGGTGTGTACTCTCTCTCTCCCCTCCTCTCAAAAATGAATAAACATAAAAAATATAAAAATAAAAAAGGGAAAGAAAATGGAAAATAAGTGCTGGCAAGGATGCAGATCAACTGGAGCCCCTATGCATTGCTGGTGAGAATGTAAACCGGGGCAGCCACTATTAAAACCATTTGGGAGGTCCTCAAAAATTTAAACACAGAGTTTCCATATGATCCAATTCCACTTCTGGGTATCCACCCAAAGAACTGAAAGCAGGGACTCCATATTTGCACATGCATGTTCACTGGAGCATTATTCACAGTGGCCAGAAGGCAGTGGCAACCTAAATGTCCATCAACAGATGACTGGATACCAAATGTGGTCTATAAAGACAATGAAATATTAGTCAGCCTTCAAAAGGAAAGGACTTCTCAAACAATGGAATTATTATTTAGCTTTACAAAGGAAGGAAATTCTGACACCTACTACAGCACATATGAATCTTGAAGTCATTACATAATAAGTGCAATATGCCCATCACAAAAAAAAAAAAAAAAGAAACAAATCCTGGAAGATTCCCTTATATGAGGTACCTAGAGTGGTACAATTCAGAGAAAGTGGAATGGTGGCTGCCAGGGGCTGGAGGACAGGGGGACACGGAGTCACTGTTTAAAAGGTACAGAGTTTCTGTTTTGGAAGATGAAAAAGTACTGGAAAAGGATGATGGTGATGGCTGCATGACAGTATGAATGTCCAACCTGCACTAAACTGTACAGTGAAAATGGTTAAAATGGTGCATATTATTTTGCGTATTTTACCATAAAATAAATCAGAGATAACATGAAAAATCCTGGATAGTGCCAAAAAAATTATTAGCTGTATCAAACAATTCACTCAATCCTGCCTAAAACTGAAGAGCTGTGTGAAAATCTGGATAAAGAGCACATAAACCTCATACTTTCTCTGGCCCGGCAAGAAGTTCTCAGCGAGGTGACGGACTTGAAGGTGAACAGTAGGAAAGAGGTAGGCCAGAATTCACAGACTGCTTTGCAGAAGAGCTGCAGGAATGAGCCTAGACATTTTCATCACATAAACCAATTCAACAAGACCCTATAAGACCCCGGAGAAAGCACTTAACTTCAAATGGTAAGATTCTTGGATTTCAAAGAAAACTAAATCTTTGGGAAAATCATATTGCAAAAAATTTTAAATGTTCACACTTTTGCTTAGGCTTGACAGTGATAAAAGCTATTAGCAAGTCTCAAGGCTTAATGTAAGCCATCTGGAAAAACTGTAGAAAATTAGACAGCATTTTTCCTCCCTTTCAACACCAGAGTGTGACTAGGTAAAAAACCCTTTCTCAGAATCTTCTGCTCAGCCACAGAACTTGACTTTGAAAAGAGCTTTGTAACATACAGTCTGATTGTACACTACAGAAGAGATTTACTGATCTCCCTTTAGAAAAAGGCAGATTTAGGGGCGCCTGGGTGGCTCAGTTGGTTAAGTCTGACTCTTAGACCTGCTTGGATAAGGAAAAAAAAAGAGAAAGAGAAGGAAACATTTTTAAAAGATAAATGTTAAGTTTCCCCAACTTACACTAATTGGCATTATAGTCGATAACTTTATGAACAGAGGAAAACCATACAGAAAAGAGCAGACTAATAAATTGGTCCACATATACAGATCTACGAAGAAATATTATTCTCTGCTCAAAAGAGCACTAGTTGGGGTACCTAGGTGGCTCAGTTGCTTAAGCATCTGACTCTTGATTTCAGCTGAGATCATGATCTCATGCTTCATGAGTTCGAGCCCCGTGTTCATCTCTGTGGTGACAACACAGGGTGTGCTTAGGATTCTCTCTCCCCTGTCTCTGCCCCTCCCCTGCCTCAAAATAAATAAATAAACTTAAAAAAAAAAAGAGCACTGGCAACGTTATTGCCTTATCTACAACTTTCTGAACATTCTAATGTACTGTAAGCTATAGATATTTTTATGCAGACTTAAAAATTGTTATGGCTTCATTAATTATTAAATTATTAATAATTATCTTTAGAATACATAAAGGTTTGAGAAAACATCCTAATATGAGAAAGCATGGTCACCTGGGAAGTACAGCAAAAAAAAAAAAAAAAGCCTAAAGATAACCAAGACCCTACAAATTTACATGAAACAGAGGAGAGACACACTTGAATTAATTATCACATTAGCAAAATGCAGACAGTGAGAAAACCTACAAGACAAATGGCTGTTTCTTAAAAAAACAAAAATAAATTGTGAGAGAAAAATAAGGTGGAAAAGGAATTTAATTAGAGATTAAAAACACTTAAGAGACATGACAAACCAACTGTAAATCAAACAAACTGTAAATGCGTGGACCTTATTCTGATCCTGATTCAAAACACAAAAGGTAAAAGAAAAAAATAAGGTGAAGGAGCTTAAGGAGTACCAAGTCCCAGTTACGAAGTAAGTCGCAAGGATGAAACGTACAGCACAGGGACACAGTCAGCAACACTGCAACACAGCTGTCCACTAGCGGATGGGAACGTGGATGATGGTGAGCACGGCCTAATGGACTGCACTATCCAATCACCACCTCGTATGCCCGAAACTAACATAGCATTGATATCAAACATGCTTCAATTTAAAAAAGTAATTAAATTTAAAAAGAAAACTATTTATGATATTTATGACTGAGAATATTAAGGAATTACTCTTGATTTTTTTGGTGTGATAATGGTATGGTGGTTTTTTTAAAAGAGTCTGTTATTTTTTGGAGTTACATAACAAAATGTTTAAAGATCAAATGAAATAAGGTTTAAGATCTACTTCAAAAGAGTAAGGAAAAAGTGGGTGAAGATACAGATGAAACAAGGCTGGCCATGAGATTAGAAGTATTAAAACTGGGTCACGGGGGCTCATTGTACCTGGCAACTTTTGTATACATCTGTAAGTTTCCAGAACAAAAGTTCTTCTGAAATATTGTAAAATGAGAAAAGCAAAATTCACAAAAAAGTAAAAAAAAATATTTAACAAATATAATCAAAGGACTAGTATCCAAGATAAAGATCTATAAACAATCACAAATTATACTCTACAATTACAAAAGGATAGACTACTCAATTTTTAAAAAATTTTAATGTTTATTTTTGAAAGAGAGAGAGGGCGCACACTCGCATCATGTGAGCAGGGGAGGGGCAGAGAGAGAGGGAGACACAGAATCTGAAGCAGGCTCTAGGCTCCAAGCTGTCGGCACAGAACGAGTCAGACATGGGGCTCAAACCCACAAACCACAAGATCATGACCTGACCTGAAGTCGGATGCTCAACCAACTGAGCCACCCAGGTGCCCCAGACTACCCAATTTTTTTTTTAATGGGACAGTTTAAACAGGAACTTTACAAAATAAATTCAAATGACTAATATCATAGGAAAACAAGCTCAATCTGAGAAGTAATTAGGCAAATGCAAATTAGAACCTTAATGAGACGGCATCTCACATCCACCAGATTTATAAACATTTAAAAAGTCTGGCAACACCAGATGCTGGCAAAGACATGGAGCAATTATAAATTCATCCACTCTTCTGGGGAGAGTGCAAATTGGTATAACCCCCTCAGAAAACTATGTCTGCATTACGTAACATCAATGATGCACATATCGTATGAACCAGCAACTCTATTCACAGGTTTATACCCTAGAGAAATGAGTGCACAGAAGCCCCAGAAAACATGCACCACTGTGAAGACATGCACCACTGTTCGTAAAAACCCAATGACCAGCCAAATAGAACAGATAAACAAACTCCCGAAATCATACAATGGAATTCTACACAGCAATAAAATTAACTAACTACAGCTACATACATGACATCGTTGAATCTCAAACATAACACCGGGGGAAAATGCAAAATGAACAATACAGCCAGCACGATGCTAATTACACCATGTTCAAAAACTGGCAAAAGTATAACAGATATACACATAAATAATAAAGCTATAAGGAAAAACAAGAAAATGATTTCCATGAAAGTATGGAGTATGGGGGGGGGGGGGAGTCTCTGAGAGGAAGAAAAGGTGTTGAGTGAGTGGAAGTTATGAGGGATTTCACTTTAAAACAAACTCCACTTTGCTATATGTGCATTTCTCAGCTTTAAAAAATGTTAAAACCACAAAAACTGTTTTTAAGAGAAATCACCTATTCTCATTAAACTAGGATGTGCTTCATCAAAATGAGGTTGTAAAGGAAGACAGAAGACAGCACAAGGTCTTACATGTGACAGAGAAGCAAGGGAAAAAAAATCTCCTTAGGATGATTTTAGAAAAAGCCTGAATAAAGAGTTTGGATCTGAACAGGATTAAAAGTTCCAGGAAGGTAATCTCCAAGGAAAAACGAGAAAGGAAAAGGAAAAGAAAAAAGACAGACAGAAAGACAGACAGACAGACAGAAAGACAGACAGAAAGACAGACAGACAGAAAGAAAGAAAGAAAGAAAGAAAGAAAGAAAGAAAGAAAGAAAGAAAGAAAGAAAGAAAGAAAGAAGGAATGAACACTGACAGAGCACCTGAGTGTTCGGAGTACTGAGGAGGTGTATACAGTCTGAATGGTAAGTAACAGGATCACGACCGAAGGAGGCACTTGTTAACTCTGGGGAGAAGGTGTGAACAGCCTCCAGTGTTACAAGAACAGAAGCACTGAATAATGATTTGATTATAAAGATAATGTAACTCATTAGGAAGACACACAGAGGGGAAAGACATGCAGGTACTGGCGCTTTTTCACAGAGCTAAATTTTCATCTTCCATTGCAGGAACTAAAGAGATACCTCAAACTGAAAATGCAACAAATAGCATTAACCTATCATTCAGAAGTATGAAGGTAAACATTGGAAGAAAGAGCTACAAAAAGTTGAAAGTCTTTGCCTTAGGAGACTAGGAACCAGTGCTGGTAAGGACCGTAGTGGATTACCTGCCATTTGTCATAAGCCTTGTAATACTACTTTAAAAACTGACAACTACACGTATGTGTTAACTTTGATAAAATTAAAATTAAAATTCAGCATTTGCTCCATAAGCAATTCACCCATTAATACCCCTATAGTTTCAAACCTGTATTACTGAAGATGATGTATATACAGTTAATCTATTCAAATAATGGTAACAGATTTAAAGCACCTAGTACATCACAGTGTAATGTACATGCAAAATGTAGTAAGTTTATCATCAAGAGCAATACAACCAATAAAACAGAAAAATTTTACCTTGTAAAAGTTCCCATACGACTTTCGAATATTGATCCACTTTTTAGCAAAAGGAGGATATTTGAGCCTGCTTAGCCGGCACTGAATGTTCAGGAACTTACTCATATCCCACGAACTGGTAAAGTCAAAAACAGAGGTGAGAAACAATGAAATAAATACTATACTGTTCTTACAAGTAAAATCACTCTATTTGTTTTGCATTTACACATCACCTTTCTTGCTGATGTTCCCACAAATCATCAAACTTAGAAAATTAACCTCTCCATGTCCAAAATACAACTTCAAAAACAAACTTTAAAAAAAAAAACACAAAAGTACAAGTCAGGCATATTAAATCTTTCTCACAAACTGACTAATTCTTACTAGGCTCATCATGATCACTTTCATGGTTCTGATTATTTGGGCAGACCTCTATGTTTTTAATTGTTTTTTCATAATCCTAAAATAACTCTGCCAAGCTTACTTTTAATGCCAAGTTTATCACATCAGGAAGTTCTTTGAGGTGTGCTTTGAAACAAAACGAAATACCTCCAAAAGACGAAAGTAGCTGGTATTCAGCAGTTAGAATACAATTTGCTGTGTTACAGCATATGTTTCTATAACACAAGTCAACTTAAGTAGTTAAGTAGGAAAACACTGATTGTGTAATATGGACATTGTTTTGGTTTACACATGTTTTTTCCCCAGGAAAAAAGGGAATGAATACAATAGCCGTGAAAATTATAACCTTCAGCAGGAAAGAAAAACTCTCAACTCAGCTGCTGTACTGTTAAACAGGAGTACTTTCAAGTGTATTTTTAAAAAAATTAAAAACAAGTGCTTGTCCCCAGGACCCTACTGCTTCTGTGCCTTTGTATTATCCTCTGAGGCAACTTCCACTTAATCTGAACTGCTTGCCTGTGCGATCCAATTTCTGGAGGTACAAGCTATGTCCCAGAATGTGAGGGTTTTACAGAATCACACATACTGTGTTATGAAAGAAACACCATATACTTTAGCAGACACACTACTCATTCACATTTAAAATCAATAGATTTCTAAAGAGGTTCATCAACATTTTCCCAAATTTCTATTTTTAAACACAATTATAATGTGACTACACGCAATGCTTTTTTCCTATGTAAGGGCCACTAAACCCTATGTGACATCTCAGTTTTAGTGTGCAATCTGTCCATAGTTTGAAACAGAAGTCAATTAGGACTTTCTTCTTCAATCTTAATAGCATTATCATTTTGGAGCTGCCTTGGCACAATGCCCATAATCTTTCTGATCTTCCCTCTAAGCTTTTCATCTAACAAATGCTTTTTGAGCACACAAAACTTTGAGGTCAGACTACAGTAAGCATCATGGAAGATTATCAAGTAGCTGAAGTCCTTACTCTGAAAGGATTTTTAATCACCTTGCAAACATAAGTCTTACATAAAGTTCAGATCTATCAGAATATTTAGTCAGAGGCCAACACAAAAGGTAAATATATAAAGACTGTAAGATGTCCAAAAAGAAATCAGTGAGTTGCAGCATGCGGAGTAAAACAGAAGAGCTCTGAATAATAAGAGAGCAATAACGGAAGCAAGCCTCCCGGCAGAGAGGAAGCCATAAATGAGCGGAGAGAGAGGATACACCCTGTGGTTCAGGCCAGCATGACCAGAGGGGAAGAGAACAGCAGGTGGATTTGGCTACTTAGGCTTCAGGTCTGGCTTGAAAGCCAGCCTGACAATTTTGGACTTCCTTGAGCAGGGAGGTGTCATGACCAAAAAAGTCATTTTAGTTTTACATGTTAACATGTATCTTTCCCTAGTCTTCTAGTCCTGACTCAGACTGTTATTGCTTTCCCTCCTCTCTTTGATCCCTAGGATACAAAGTTTAAGCAGAAATAAGAACGTGAGAAGAAAAATACGGTCTCTTGTGGGAGACCCCAGAACTATCAGTAAATAATACTTTTTGTGGTTATTCTAAAAGTTAAATGAACATGAACATCTTTCATCTTTAAAAAGTAAATTAAAAAACATAATTTTTCTGAATACTCACCCATCTGTCAATATGCAATATTTATACTTTGTTCCTAACTCCTTCGATTTCATCCAGTCAATTACTTTTTTTAGTACCTGAGGGAAGGTATCAGCTCTGTCTACCTGATCCTGAGGATATAAAAGTAAAATATATAAAAATCAGAGTAGCTACATGTAGTCCTGCAAATACTCAGACACAAAATTTAAGAAGAAAAGGCACGGTTAAGAGAAAGTCTCATCTATGCTATTTTAAACTCTATGTGATTTCCTTGGCTGAGATCCATGTAACATTTTATTGTTAAGATACTTAAAAACTGTTTACAGCCAGGCACTAGGGATGCTTTCAAGTGAAGTACAAAATCATCCCAAAATGAAGATTTAAGATCATCCCCAGCAGTCTTCCTTTTTTTAGGCCTCAACTTAGTGGCTTCCTAATTCTCTGGAGTGGAGAAAAGGGAAGTCGTCTCCCAGCTAGCTACAAGCCACAGCCCTCTAACATGGTCTCCCTATCTCAAAGCTCAGATCTTTCCACAATGATGACACACCACTCCCAGACTGATCTTCCTCAACTGATCCATCACATCACTTCCGTACTTAAAATCCTGCAAACGTTATCCAAGGCTTTCAGTGTAAAAAGACATACAAGACTCTTCATGACCTGGCCTCCCTCGCCTACCACTTTAGCTTTATTTTCAACCACTTTCTTACTAGCCCATGCACACCTGACCCATCCCCAACTACTTACAGTCCTACTGTGCACACGTGAAATGCCCAGCCATTCTTTCCTGCCTACTGACCTATCATGATTCAGCCCAAGTTCACTAACCTGAGGAAGTCTGGCACAGGACAGCCCTCCATTCCGTCTGCTGTAAGATGCCCATACTACTCTGATAAAAAAATTACTTCATCAGTCTTCCTAACCATATTGTCACCACTGGTTTAGTCTGTCTGTCCTCCTGAATGCAGACTGTTGAGTGACCTAAGGAGACGGACTTAACTATCTCTTATCCCTGGTGCCTTGGCAAATACTCAAATACTTGTTGAGTATATGAGTAAATGAATAAAGGAACCAACTAAACAATGGCCATAACACACTGGAATAAAAAATCAGAGACCTAATAAAACATTAAACTATATAAAAAGTCAGGTTATAAACAGATACATTTTAAAACTTCACCTCCAAGTCCGGCATGGTAATGATTACTTTACTTTACTAATGATTCAAATTAAACCTTTAGATTCATCATTACCAGTCCTCAAGAGGAAAGGCTGAGAAAGATTTTAACAGGTAGAAAATCTGCTTTCCTACTTTTTTAATATTATAATATGAAAGATCTTTATCAAGTAAGCAAAGTACATACTGTTTACAGTAATAATAATTTTTTAAACTAAAATACAACCCTAATTTCAGAACCTCTTTCAAACTCTAGAAAAAGGAACAGAGAAATAGAACCTGAGTAATTCCAGTTAGGTTGATGCAGAAATCAGAAAGTTGTGTGTTAATCTCTGGTCTCACATACTGCTGAAAGGTATCTTCCTACAAAGGAAGGAGAGCAAGTTCAAGTATTTTCTATGATTTCAGATACATGACTCAAGATACACGAAACATTAAGCCACAGGAGACTGTAATTTTATAGGTGCTTAGTTTATAACCCTTTCTAGAATTTTAAGCATTTCAGAGTAATTCTCTACTCCTAAAGCACTCTACTTCTAACTATGCTTCATAGTTTAAAATTTTTTAAGATAAAACAAGTATCTGAAAGCAAGCCTTCAAACCAAAGTTTAAACATTTTCTTGAGAAGCAAAATGTTGATAATTCTGTTTCTAATATTTGAAACTGTAAAGCTTAATAATGCAACCTCAACTTCAAGATGCTAACAGCTTTTTAAGTAACAACAAATTCTTTGAAAAAATGCCAATCTTAGGTGTAATAAATTAGCTCTAGATTTTACTACTCTCTCATTCACTCTTGAGTAGTCCTCATTTTTATACTGGTTCCATTAAACTGAAATCTGAATAATCAAAATTGAACTACATGAGACGTAGTACTTTTAAGGGCGATAATATGGTATTTCTGTAGCAATATTTATCTTCTCTGAGCAGCGTACATGCTTGCCTTCTCATCTAATGCTCACAGCAAGTCTGTGAACTCATAAGGCCGGTACTGTTACCACCAAGCCCAGACCTCCAAGCGCTTTCTCCTCTAGCCCAACATTTCACCCCTAAACTAGAACATGCAAAGTCACTTGTTAAAACAAGTACAATTTTGAAGCCTAAAGGCAGCGATCGCTAATACCAGGTAGATACAGAGAAAAAACAGCTTTTTTGTGACAGAAGATTCAAAAATTAAGGAAAGTAAACGTTTCACTTCCTAATAAATTCTTTCTTCACACTAGCACATTAAGCCAATGAGTTATAAAGGTTAACTCTTTATAAAAGAGCAATATTCAAGAACAGCAAAGAATGTCTGAACTTCAAAAGTTATATGCTCTTTATGTACCAAACACACTGCAGAAGGAAAAATTCCACTTAACTGAATTTTTCAGATAAATGAAGGCTCTATTAAGTATACATTTTTATAATTTTCAATTACAATCTTTCAAAAATATGCTGCTGCTTCGCTTACCAATACAAGCAGATAATATCAAATATATCATTAATAAAACATTATTTACATTTATCAGAATGGTACTACAGAGAAGAATTATGCACCAGATGAGCAAGTATTTAGCAACCACTTAAGCAGATTACAGAGTAGGTTATCAAATGATAAGGGGAATTAAAATTAAAATAGGGGCGCCTGGGTGGCTCAGTCAGTTAAGCGTCCGACTTCGGCTCAGGTCCTGATCTCATGGTTCGTGGGTTTCAGCCCCACATCGGGCTCTGTGCTGACAGCTAGCTCAGAGCCTGGAGCCTGTTTCAGATTCTGTGTCTCCCTCTCTCTCTGACCCTCCCCTGCTCACGCTGTCTCTCTCTCTCTCTCTCTCAGAAGTAAAACATTAAAAAAATTAAAGTAGAGCATATAAGCAGGATCAGAAAAATTGGGTGTGGGGGGTGGTTTCAGCTACACTATTAAATATACCATCACCTTTATGCAGAAAGTGAGAACTAAGGAAGCACTGGAAGGAAGCGAGGGAGGGAGTGTGGGAGGGAGGAGTAAATAGCAAGACTTCTGGAAGAAAGAATTTAGAACTAGAGCCCTGGAGGTGAGGGAGTGAAACGTGCCTAGTATTTCTGAGAAACAGCAAGCAGGTTAATATGGCATGGTCAGAGGTAGTAAGAGGCCAGATTATGTTAAGGAATATGGCTTTTTCCTGAGTTAAAAGAAAAGCCACTGAAGTTTTGAGCAGAGAAGGGAAATGACTTCTATTTTGTAAGGATCACTCCACCCACTATGTTAAGACTGGGTTGAGGGGACAAGGATAGAAACAGAGACCAGTCTGATGGTGAATGCAATAAATTCAGACAAGAAATTATTGGGGCTCGGACTAAAGTCACAGTAGTGCAGGTAAGTGCTGGGTTCTGGAGGAATTTTGAAGGCACAGCAAACAAGAGTTGGTCTGGATGTATGATGAGAGAGAAACAGGGGAGTCCAGGATAATTCCAAGGTTTCTGAACTGATTAAGAGTTGCCATCACTCAAGCTAGTGAAAGCTGAACATACAACAGGTGAAGAGTAAATTCACTTTGGGACATGTTAAGAGTCTGTTCAAATGTCCAAGCAGACATTTGACATGTTAAATAAGCAGTCTGGATGTGGGATAGAGGTCCAGGTTGGAAATAAACAATGGGAAGTCATTAGCATACAGACAGTTTCTAAAAGCTACGAAAGTAGATGAGATTAAGGGAAAGGATCTGCATAGAGAAAAGGACCTAGGAATGAACCCTGGGGCATCCAATATTAGGGATTCTGAGGAAAAGGAACCAGCAAGAGAAACTGTAATGGGGAGCCCAATGAGGATGGAGACCAATTAAGAGACTGAGGGGTACCGGCGGTCACCTGCAGCAGATGTTTCAAGGACAGACTGGTCAATTATACCAGCATTTAGATAAGGGTCAGAGATGACACTAACGAATGATGCTAGTGGAGGGATGGGACTGAAGACCTAACTTAAACCCACAGTGGTGGGAGTTTAAAAGAGAACGGGAGGAAACAGCGCTATGTAACTTTCTCAAAGACATTTACTATAAAAGAGAACAAAGAAATGGGGCAGCTGGCAGGGAACTGGGATCCAGTAAAAGCTTTTTATGGTGTGAAAAATAACACGTCTGTATGTGATGGGAAAAATACAATAAGAAGCAATAAATCATTAACATCTAAATGAGGGAAGAGAATGGCTAGAGCAATATCCTTGAGTAAGGAAGAAAAAGTGGAATCTAGTGAGTTATGTAAGATTATTACCTTCATAGCAGTCATTTTTCCTTTTAATCTGTGGATTTTAATCTTTGGACAGGAAATTATATAAACAGGCTGATTATAACTAAAAGAGATTGTGAATAACACTAAGAAAAAAATGTATGCATTCTTATACACAAGCCTTTTATACCCGCTCCCAATGTTTCGGTGGCTACTGGCGATGAAACAGAATTAACTTTTGGATAGATGAGATGTTATGATAAATGTGTGCTCAGATTTTATAAGGCAAATAGTAGTGTTTTAAGAGAGCTCCTTCTGACTTCCTGAACCAATAATACAGTGACAACAAGTGTCTAAAACAAATATACTGTATGGCTTGAAGCCAAGGTTACGAGTGCCATAAGCCCCATAAAACTTTTCACCAGAAAGACGGCCAGTTCTAAGTTGAAAGAAAGGCAATTTCTGTAATTTGCCACTTTTAGAGATCAGAGCATACAGGAGTCCCCAGCTGTGGTTCTCAATCCTGACTGCATGTCAACTGAGAAGCTTTACAAACATGTTGATGTCAGGGGCCCCACCACAGAACAACTAAATCAGAATCTCTGGAATGAGGGCCAGGCATTTTTTTTTTTTAAACCCCCTAAGAGATTCTGATGTCCAGCCAGATATGTACTCTGAGCGAACAGGAAAAACACTGTAATTTTAGCTACCGGAAAAGGAGAGAAGTAGCCTCTGGAATTACTTCATTACAGCTTTTCTATTAATCAAGCTGACACCTAGTATACAACAAGAGCAAACAGCCCACTGCTGAATTCTAATTCTAGCTTTAAAATAGGAAATGAGATCCCTGCTCTACTAGCGAATACCAGAATGGTTGCTGCTAAAAATGAAAAATACAATTCACTTACTATTTCTAAGGTATGGGTATTCAGTAAAACCACAGGAAATTCAATTATTTCATGTATAAACTCAGGTGGGTTACCCTCTTCACAAGTGGCTTCAAAATCAATGATACAAATGTAGTCATAGTAACTGTCAGCACAACCACCCTCTTTCAACATCAACTTCTGCTTCTTGTAATAGTTTTTCAGCCTTTTCTTTAGTACATCCTTTACTCCTCTGAGGAAAGAAAAAGAAAATTAACTTTTAGATGAGTTTTACAATAAAAAATCTGAACTCTTACCTGCTGACACTGGCAGTCACAGCATAATTTAGCAAATATTAACTAGGACAAATGTAAAGAAAGCAAGACTTAAATCAATATTTTCCCGCACAAGTAGCTTTTTGTTTTTGTAGTACACAAGAGCATTTCTCTTATACTGGTATTCAAGTCATAAGTCTTGTTAGCATATACTACTTATACAGCCATACTGCCTTATACCAACGTGACAGACATAATACAAAAACTGAAATTAATGTGGAAATTTTCCACAGACCAAACACAAATCTGAGTAAGAAAATTCAGGTAAATGGAATATTTATGCTATCTTACTTTCTTTTGGTTTTTTTTGGGTTAGACAACTAAAATACCCATATGAACATGAAATCATTATGAGCCTTGCATATAAAGTTGAATGTCTATTAGCTACTTAACTACAAAAACTCATTTAGAAGATACCCTAGTGTAAATCATGTCCAGAAGAACAGCCATCCTCATAAGTTCTTAACTGGAAGTAGGTTTCTTAATTTGCCATGGACTGAACTTAATATAGGAGATTATAGATATTTTCAAAATACATGTTCTACAAATGGTGGGTAGAGAAAGGGTTGTTCTAAATAGATAACAATGGTTGGTAATGGTGGTCGTGTACTTCAAACAGTATGTACTTTATTTCTTCTAAAAATTAAAAGTCATGACTAGTGCTCAGACTTCCTTCAGTGTTGTTTGAGTCCTATTAATGGTTTACAGATAGAAAACAGGAGTAAAAATAAGAGGATCTGAATTGAAACTAGTGTGCAGTAACAACTAGCATATTTTGGACACATCACTGATTAATAACTATTAAAAAAAATTTAGGGACACCTGGGGGGGCTCAGTCAGTTGAGTCTCTGACTTTGACTCAGGTCACCATCTCACAGTTCATGGGTCTGAGCCCCGCGTCAGGCTCTGTGCTGACAGCTCAGAGCCTAGAGACTGCTTCAGATTCTGGGTCTCCCCCCTCTATCTGCCCCTTCCACACTTGCTCTCTGTCTCTCAAGAATAAATATTAAAAATGTTTTTAATTTAACCTTTTATTTTCCTTTCTAAACTACCACTGAAAAGGAATCCTATTCATGAGAATATTGATAACTAACCAGTTTGTTGTTTTAAGACAGAATATTTTAATATGTTTATTTGCTTGAGATTTTCTAAATTAAAAAAATGGGAGCACCTGGGTAACTCTTGATCTTGGCTCAGGCCATAATCTCAGAGTTTGTGGATTTGTGCCCTACATCTGGCTCTGCACTGATGGTGCAAAGCCTGCTTAGGATCCTCTCTCTCCTTCTTTCTCTGCCCCTTCCCAACTCCTGCTCTCTCTCTCAAAATAAATAAATAAACAAACAAACAAACTTTAAAACAAAGAGGATAAATATTGCTTATAAGAAAAAAAGGATTAACAGGGACCCAGAAACAACCGTTTTCATCTACTGCATGCAGTCAATTCTTTTCTTGATGCTGACAATTCAATCGTCTATCAAAAAAAAAATCTGCATGCTTTTCTGGATTCCAAAATTCATTCATTCCTACCCCATGCTCCAAGTCAAAATAAAGTGGTTTATTTTGCAAAAATTTACTAAACACTGAGTGTGTATACATCTCACTGAAGATACACCCACACAGAATTGGCTAAGCTGCATTATTTTCTCATTCAATACACAGTTAAACATAATGCATATTATCATTCTGCATATTTTTAGAAACTAAAACAGAAAAAAAATATTTCCTGATAGGTAAATATTTTTTTTTAATTACTTGGTTTCAAAGAAACTCTTTTTATAAAAATAACACAACAGGACAAAATTACATATGTATGTACGTATCCAACCTCATTAATAAGATATAACCAACCATCAACCAAATGAGCAACTAAAAATTTTTAAATATATTTAGTACAATAAAATAGCTACTTCTATACAGTATTGGTAGACTGTCAAAATATTCACTCTTCGACTCAGCCTATTGTCTAAGAGACTGCCAGAAATAAAGTTCCTCATAAAGATTCACTTACAAGTATGTAAATTATAGTTGCTTGCTATCTGAATTGTTAATAATGGTTATTTCTTTATGGTAGAATTACAGATGACTGCTAATTCTTCAGTGTATTCAAGATTTTCTAGGATAAACATACACTACTTCTGTATTTTTAAAGAGTTAGTAATTACCTGGTTTCAAGCTTGAATTCTGAAAGCTTAGCTCTGAGTTCTTCCTTACTCATTCTATTAATGCATCCATTCGTAATAGCAATCTCTTTGTAAACTGGGTCACTGAAATCACTTGCACTGGACGTAATGAACTTAGATCCTTTTGTTTCTTGGCCATCAAATCTGCACCGTTGTTTTTTCTACCAAAAAAAAAAAAAATACATATATATACATATGATTATAATACAAACATCTTAAAAGATTCAAACTCCTGAGGCCTATTCATACCACGTGTTCAAAAAAAGTGCATAGAAAGAAGACATGTTTCCAATACAATTTACCCTGCTCTCTTCTGAGTCATGAGATTTCTTAAAGGAAATGAAGCTAAGTAAAAATAGCACTGGTGCTGGGAGCACACTTCAGTAGAGCCCCAGCTGACCATTTACTAGCAGCATGCCCTTGAATAGTTACTTACTAGCCTCTGATCTTCCATTTCCTTATCCATAAAATAAAGAATAATAACTGTTCCAAATGGCATTTGGAATTTGGTAATGGTAAATAGTATTTAAACAAGGTTATTATAATGATTAAATAAGATTATGTATATCAGGCTCCCGACACCATACCACCTACTATACCACCATGGCTACTAATGGAACTTATTACCATCATAGACTGTAGAAGAGACCTTTTCACAAGCAACATGCTAAAATTTCTAAACAAACCAATTTTTAAAAGAACTTTTGCAACACTATGCATGTATAAGTCAGTGACTTCCTGAGAATTTTTTAACCTGACATCAATTCACTAAGTTAAGAGAAACTGACCTACATAAAAACTAAAGGGACTATACAGTAATCTAGTTCATAACCTGCTAGAACTCTAAGCAAAGAAGGAAATGTATTCAGTTTCAAAACACATAATTTCCAAAACCTACATGTATACCAGTTATTCAGGAGAACTATAGCTACTGTATCATAAATCTTTCCTTTCCTTAAATCAAAATCTGTGAAGAAAAAACTTGACTCAATTGTAATTACTCCACAGGTAGTCCAAAATTATTAGTATGCCACGTTTCAAAGTTCCATTTATACGTTAATAACTTTCTACATGCCACGTTACAAATATTAGGTATGCTCCAGAATTTTCAAGACTTTGGTACTGGGATGCCTGACTGGCTCAGTCAGTTGAGCATCTGACTTCAACTGAGGACATGATCTCATGGTTCGTGGGTTCAATCCCTGTGTTGGTTCCTCCCACTTCTGTCCCTTCCTTGCTCACATAAGTGCGTGTACTCTTTCTCTCTCAAAAATGGATAAACATTAAAAAAAAAAATACCCCAGTAACAAGAAAATAAACAACTCAATAAAAAAAAAAAAAGACTTTGGCACTTACCATTAATCCATATTAAAGTCTGTTAACTTAGTCATAACTTACCACATTGTCCCCATATGAACTTTAATTACAGATTAAGAAGGGATAACCATGGACAGGCCAAATTCCCTGACTTAGCACTAATCCTAATGGTTCATGGACTATTTCTCACTCAAAGTTCTCAAATGTGCGTTTAACACAATACACATTTACTAGAAATGCAATGCCGGGTATTGTGCTAGAATACTCAAGAATTATTCCTATATCTTCGGAGGAAGAGATCAGAAATCCCAATGCGTGAATTGTCCATAAGCTGAAGAAAAACCATATTGAAATTTCTTATTGACAAATGTTTAAAAAACTTTACTAAGCTGATCATTGACTAAAGCTACGGAAATAATTAGCTTTCAATAATACATTAAATTTACAATACCTGGCTACTTTGTCACTAGAATTCAATCAGAGAAATTTATCCTTTGTCTTTAAACTTACGTTGAATTTTAAACTTCGTCTTCAGTGGGGTTAAAATTTAGGTCAGGGGACCTGGGTGGCTCCGTCGGCTGGGCGTCTGACTTCAGCTCAGGTCATGATCTCATGGTTCATGGGTTCGAGCCCAATGTCGGGTTCTGTGCTGACAGCTCAGAGCCCGGAGCCTGCTTCTGATTCCATGTCTCCCTCTCTCTCTGACCCTCCCCTGCTCATGCTGCCTCTCTCTCTCTGTCTCTCTTAGAAATACATAAAACGTTAAAAAAAATTTTTTTTTTAATTTAGGTCAACAATGAGTAACAGTCTGTCTACCAAAACAGATGGCTCAGTCAATTTAAGCAAATTTATTCTTTGGCTAGGTCCTCTCCCTGATTCACTTGCTTAATTCTTATCTAAAACTGTAGCTACAAAAATTACCCAAAATAACACTAAGGTCTCTTTTAAATCTGCTATAAGTCATGATTTCTGTAAAGTAAGATCTGCTTCCTCTCCCAGGTCCAACTCTAGCTCTTTCAATGAAGCTCAGGGCAGTAAAGGTCTGGTTCTCAGTGATCAGTGTCTGCTCTCAAATTTAAGGTCTACACTAATGGCTTCTGAAGAAGGTTACTCAAGCCAACCCACTAAGGAGCAAAAAGAAAATATTAAAAACCCCACATGTACTATAAATCTACTAAAATGCATAATTATTTTACTAAATAATAAATTGACAATGACATCCTCCCCAATGTCCATGTCCATAAACATATTTTATATCACATAAAGTACTAGACATATAAAGAGGAAAGTGCGGGCAGATTCCACCTTATGGAGAGGAATATTCACTTTCATAGTATTGTGATATTCTGCAATGTTTTTCTGTGTTCAAATAAATGACTGTACAATTTAAATGATTATGAAAAACTTTTATACCAAAAAGAGGCTTACTCTCTTACTGTAAGTACTTAAAGATGTTTTTGAACTAAAGCTGAGTTACGTATTTTCTTTTACAAGACAGGTATTCCAAAATTTCTGTCATTTTCTGTGATGAGAAAGGGATTGATAGCTTCAAACTTAAAAGGTTTTCCTATCAACAAACACAGCTTGTTATTTAAACATGAAAGAAAACGTTTTAACAGTAAGATAAAAAGGTAACTGCTTATCAAAAGAAACTTATTGCTGTAGCAAGAATATTTTGGAAGCTCCTGGGTGGCTCAGTCGGTTAAGCATCTGACTTTGACTCAAGTCACAATCTCACAGTTTGTGAGTTCAAGCCCCATGTTGGGCTGTGTGCTGACAGCTCAGAGGCTGGAGCCTGCTTTGGATTCTGTGTCTCCCTCTCTCTCTGCCTTTTCCCCACTTGTGCTGTCTCTCTCTGTCTTTTAAAAATAAAATAAATTAAAAAAAATTTTTTTTTAGAGAATATTTTGAAAATAGTTATTTTGGAAATGTTTTCATATATGATTGCCAAAAAAAAATGTGCATTACCTACAAAACAACCTCTGCAACCACACACACACACACATACACACACACACACCTTATAAGTATAATTTAGCCTGATCAAAATTCTTCCAAAAGAAGAGTTCTGATGAAATGTGAACCTACTTGGTTAAAAATATTAAAACGTAACATCTATTAGTTTACAAGAATAACTGATATTAGGAATAATGAAAATGGATTTAGCAGAGTCCCAACAAAACACTTTGCTTGAAATTGAAAAAAAAAAAAACTGTAACACCATTTATTAGATTCCAACAATAAGTTTTTAACAAATGAGTCACTAAAACCAATGTGGAACACAGACCTAAGCCTAACGTTGCTATATCTCAAAGTTGGAAGACTTATAAAATATACTGAACTATACTCAATTATTTTTAAGCCAACTTCCATGATGATGTTATTGACAGCATCTCAGACTTAAGAGGGAGGTGGGTGGAAAAGAGATTCTTTAGAGAGAGGCAGCATCCGATGCCTCTTTGAAAGTAAGGAGAATGGGATAGCTATGCAAAAGACCCAAAAGAAGAGCACGCAGGGTAAAGGAACATCCAAAGATCCTTAATAAGAAAGTCTACCCATAGGTGCTTGGGTGGCTCGGACAGTTAAGGGTGGGACCTCGGCTCAGGTCATGATCACATGGTTTGTGGGTTCGAGCCCTACACTGGGCTCTGTGTTGACAGCTCAGAGCCTGCAGCCTGCTTCGGATTCTGTGTCTTCCTCCCTCTCTGCCCCTCCCCAACTTGTTCTCTCTCTCTCTCAAAAATAAATAAAACTTCTTTTTTTAATTAAAAAAAAAAAAAAAAAGACTATCCACCGTAAAAGAACCACTGAAGCTACGGGCTCTGAGAGCAAACGCGAAGACTTGTGGGAGATGAAGTTAGCAAGGGAGGCCGGAGCCAGGCCCCGCCGGGCTGCAAACTGAAGACAGAGATGGGGAGAAACACATCAGACTCCTGTTATTCTAGCTGCTACTTGGAGAACTGGCTGTTGATGGAAGAGCGAATGCCTCGCGCAAGTACCCACTCTACGAAGTGCTCAACATACGTTACTCAAGTGAAATGGACCAATTTTAGCATTAGGATTATTTACAAGCTGCAGCGCTAGTCCCCAATAATGTCTACCTGCCAAACAAGATGAATTAAGTAAGTTCTGAGACCGTCTTTACAATTTTGCTCTGGGCAGGGATCTACCAATGAGCTGTCAGAACCATTACGAAAATCAGACCTACGGTATTATCTGTGTGAAATAGTAGCGAATGGGCAAGAAGCTCCGACCAAGGCACAATCACCTTCTGTTAAGGCTGGGGGGCGGGGGGTGGGGTGGTAAAGGACTTCAGGTCTTAAGAAAACGACATGCCTAGAGCACATGGTGCGATTTTTAAAAACACAACTTACCTAAAAGAGCTAGAGAGAATGACTACAGCAACAGGGTGCACCGAATATTTAGAGCAGAATTCCCAGCAGAACTTCTAAAACCACGGTTCCCACACTTTTCGTCTTGACTATTTCCTCACATCACATTACCACAGGGTAATTCGGGCCACAAGGGGCTCAGTGACAACCAGCCCGAGGAAAGGCACCGGAGATGGGAACGAGGGGAGCGGCCAGGACTGGGAGCCGAAGGGCTGCGGTTTCGGCGCAACACCCTAGAAGACACGGGCGCGGGAGTCCGGAAGGGCCGGGCACCGCCGGCCGGGCGCGGGCGGACTCACCTCGGGATTCGGATTCTGCGGCTCCTCCCCACACTCGGACCAGGGCGACTCCAGCCGCGCGGGAGCCACGGCCTCGCCGCCAGGCTGTTTCCTCCGCTCGTGCTCCATGCCCGCTGTCACGTAAGAAGAGAGCTGCTGGAGCCCGACACTCGCTCACTCTCACTCGGCCAAGCCCGAAAGCCTCGCCTTTCTCCGTTGAAAAATTACCGGGTTCGCGTTCCCGCGGCGGCCGCCACACAAACTCGAGCGGACACCTCCCACTTCCGGGAGCGTGTGGCGTCCGCACGCCGCGCAGGCGCAGTGAGCGGGCGCGCGCGGAACGCTAGCGCATCTGCGGACGGGGTGGGAGGAAGAAGGGGAGGGAGGCGCGCGCGGGAGAATACGGGGTTGGACGTCGCTGTGCGGCGAGCCCGCGAGTGCCCCGTTGTCGTCTCACCGGAGTCCAGACTAGTCGCTAGAAGATGCCGCCAAGATACACGATCCCGTCAGCGTATTTCCTGAGAAGAAAACCGAGGGGTGCCATGCAGGAGAGGCAAACTTTAACCGCGGCAAATAACATGTAAAACAACTTCTGTTTTTTATGAGGAGTGTAAGACGTCTGCTTCTGGACGAGAGAAAATGGGTCTGGACTTACTAAAAGCTGAAAGAAATGTATGAAACAGCTGTTTTCAGACGTTTGGGCAATAGGCAATTCTGGACCGTTTTGCCTGAGAGAAAGGAAACAAGATGAACCCTTTATCTCCCTGGCTTTCTGCCTAAAGGCGGTTTTCAGTCTGAGGTGGGGGGAAGGGGAACTCAAAAAAAGACCTCAGATCTTACTGACAAGACAGTCTTATTGAGTTGAAAAGACAGGGATTGGAGTTAAGGGGATTTGGGGAGGCCAAGCTGGTTGGAATTGATGAGGAGTAGTGCTCTAGAACTAGCTTTGGCATCTCCATGGGAGTACCCTTGAATCTTTAGCTGAATAAAAAACAGTGGGTATGTCGTGTGAACCTCCGCAAGGCCCAGGAGCGATTATGGGGAACAGTAAGCCAGACCGTTGTCAGAACTCACACAGGACTAGGACTCGTTTGCGTTCCCCGCAGCCAGGGTGGAGAAACCCTTGACTACGCTCCTGAGACCCAGAGGGTTACGTCTTAGTTGTGAGGTCGTCTCCTATGAGTAAAAGCTACCTTAGACTCTTCAAAAGCTTAAAACCCTGAAAGGATCAAACTGCTCAGTAACCTGCCTGCCTGCCAGAACAAAGGCTAATTCTCTCTAAAAGACTACAACACAACTCAGGACTCAAGGACATTGAGTTGAAACTATCAGGCATCCACCAGTTAAAAATTAATAAACCTGCCAAGTAGGAGAATATACGAGACAGTCAATAGAAACATATCCAGAAATGATACACCTATTATAAATGCACTCAATATGCTCAATGATTTAAAGGAAAAAGATGATGGGAGAGATGGTTTAAAAAAAAAAAAAAGCAAATAAAATTTCTGGAGATGAAAAATATGTGAAAAAAATTTTTAATCTCTTGGTGTAGGGGGTGGGGGGGTGCCTGGGTGGCTCACTTAAATGTCCTTTGACTCTTGCTTTCGGCTCAGGTCACGATCTCACGGTTCATGGGTTCAAGCCCAGTGTCAGGCTCTGCACTCTCAGCGCAGATTCTCTCTCTCTGTCTCTCACCTGTGGGCGAATGCACTCACTCTCTCTTTCCCCCTCAAAAATGAATAAATCTCTAGAGGGGATGGGTACCACATTTGGCACTGTAGAAAAAAGAAGTAATGAATTCGAAGACATACAAGTAGTAGCAATCCAAAATGACACATTTTGTGACCTGTGGGACAATATAAAGAGGCTATACATGCATTTGGGAGAAGACTTCAACTGCTTCCATTTTGACCTCAAACTTTCTAAGTTCTTCTTTCCAGTTTATCTTTTAATTTAGGCAGAAAACCCTGAGGGCAAAGTATTCCCAGATGGGACCTGAAACTACCCGCTTGAGCAATAAGGACTGCACTGACCCAGCAAGACCCGACCCATGATTGACCTCAAGAGACAAAAATAGCAATTTGACCTTCACTGCCAACCTGGATGTACTCACTGACCTTTGTCTCACATTTTCTATATATAAACCCTGTTAAGTATTTTTAGCACTTTGGAGGCAGTCTTTGAGATGCTAGTCCACTGTCCTCCTGGAGTCGGTCTTAAATTTCTTATTTCACCACCACTAGTTTCTCTGTTGTTGGACTTTGTCAGCATCAACTGGCCTAACTCCGTCTGTTTGGGCCTTGCCACAGCCAGGTGCTGATAAATAGAAACCCATACCAGGCCACACCATAATCACATTGGTGAAAAATAGTGATAAAGAGAAAAATCTTAAAAGTTGCTTGAGAAAAAAAGGCACAGAACACAATAAGAATTTTTATGGACTTCTCATTAGAAACTCCGCAAGCCAAAAGGAATGGAATGATAACTGTAAAGTGCAAAAACAAAACCAACTGTCAGCTTGGAATTCTATACTCAGCAGAGTGAAACAAAGACTTTTCGGATAAACAAGCCCAGGAAAACCACATCCTGAAGTAGAGTCATCCCAGTTGACTTGCAGACCTGTGAGGAAGAAAAATAATTGCTTATTGTAAGCCACTGGGGTGGTTTTATGATAGGAAAAGATGGGATTCGGTGGGCAGAGGTTAGGATCTGAGGACCCAGGGTGGGGAAAACCACTTATTTTTTGGAACAATGCTGTGAGTGTCTGACCACAGCAAACCTCCTCAGGCGTGAGGTTCCTCTTAAGAATGTAACAGACACCACCTACTCTCCCTTAGGAGTCCCTCAGGAATTTGACAAAAGACCGAACTAAAAATAAGTAGTAGCCTATAAAAAGTGTGACCTATGAGAAATGATACAGACATAGACCACCCCTCATACAATGGAAATGAGCCAACTGAGAATGAACAGCCCAGCACCTCAAATTACCAAGCCAGTAGGTTAGGACCTGAAAAGGATCAAAGGGTGTGGGAAGGGGGTTGGGGGGACAGCCAGAACCTTATAAAATAAGGACTCTTGCCTATTATAAGTCCATGGGCATTCACTTTCAAATATCCACTCTCTGTAAAGAGTTTTCATACTGTTCTTACTTTATGATCTCGTACTCTAATAAATTTTTGCCTGCTATTCATTCTGTGTCCACCTCTTCATTCTTCGAAGCAAAAATACAGCGAATCCCAGGTATTGAGGTTAAAAAAAAATCCTGCAACAGTTTGTTATTCAACATTATTATAAAACTAATTAAAGAATACAAGGTAATTTCAAGATACGTGGCCTTGGGTGAAGACACATACTTCCCTACCGGAGAAAGGGACATAATTGGAAATCTACAGATCTGTTACTTCTGATATCACCTGCCTCCTCCTTAGTGGTACTGTATGTTTTCCCTCATAACTACAGATTTACCTTTGTGTTTACAAACTAAGGTTTATAAGCTCAGAAATTACAAAGATTTCAAAGATACAACTGAAATGATAATCTCTTTCTGCCAGATTTATTCATTTTCTCTTTAGGCTATGACTTTGAGTCCTGACACAAAACTGCAGAGAAATTGATGAGAATCCTAATCTCATCTCCCTGTCACCTAGAAGATGCTGTTTCTTTCAAAGAAGAAAATGACCCAGTGAACACTATCAGGATCCACATTACATAAACATTAATAAGCACTAGTTACAAACTGTTGCACTTGAACTTTTTGATATGTGTGTCAACTGTTAAAGATTCACTATCAAGGAGTGATAATTTATTGGCACTGCAAATGATGGGTTTATACATTAGTACTGTTGCTTGTATCTAAAGATACCAAAACCATTCTTTCATTCAAGAAATATTTATTGAGCACCTTTTATGTGTCAGAAATGAGCATTGAACAAATTAACAAAAACCCTTTGCCCTGGCAGAGTTTACATTGGAGAAGTGCAATTAGACAATAAACAAAAGATGGGGGGCCCTGGGTGACTCAGTCGTTAAATGTCCGACAGGCCCAGGTCATGATCTCCGGGCTCACGGATTCGCCCCACTTCTGGCTCTGTGCTGACAGCTTAGAGCTTGGAGCCTCCTTTGTATTCTGTTGTCTCCCATTTTCTGCCCTCCCTGGCTCCGCGCCCCCGCGCTCTCTCTCAATAAAGGAATAAACATTAAAAAAAGACAATAAACAAAAGAAATGAGCGATATGTTTACACTATGGAGAAAATTAAGCAGGTAAGGGGACTGGGGCGTATCTGTATGGGGAGGGGGTTGCAATTTGAAATAGAGTGGTTATGGGAGGTCTTTCTGATGATTCGCTATTTGAGCAAAGACCTGAAGGAGGTGAGGGAATAAGCTGTGAGGATATTAGGTAAGAGTATTTCAGGCAGAACCAGCAACAAGTAAAAAGGCCCTAAGCTGAGAACATGTCTGGACTGTTCAAGAAATACCAGCGTCTGATACTTTCCTTTGATCGTATAATATCTGCATGTAGGAAACACAAATGTTTTTAAATGCTGACTTTGTTGTTACTTTTCCATACCATTAAGGGAGAAATGTTATTGATACTAGTGCCTTCTGCCTAAGAAAATACATGCCCTAGTTGGACAGCTAAAGAAGAAAGCCTCTGTGAACATTTAAGATATGGCACAAACCTAAAAGAATTGGTTATTCTCTTGTTAACCCCAGTAAAAATATACCCACCTTTCATTTAGGTACAGTGTCCCTGGATTAGCCCGCTGTCAGTGATAGGTCTGTGTCCCTGGATTAGCCCGCTGTCGATGATAGATCTGTGTACAGGTATTGTTAAATACTGGAATTTGTAAATTGTTCCAGGCTGGACTAAATACATGAGCTTTGCAGAACTGAATTTGTTTCTAAGTCATTTGCCCATTGCCGCCTGGTGTCACATGTTGTATGTTTTGTTCTATATGTTTACCTTTGTATCTGAGCACCCTGCTCTGTTCCATTGGTAGTGTCTGTTCTTACACCTTTCCCACGCTGGCTTTTATTGCTTGGCCCTGCACCATGCCTGCAACAGTAACTTCTAAAAACACCTCCTCCTCTTTACTGCTCTTTTTCAAGACTGACTTAGCTATTTATGGATTTTTGGTCTTTCACATACATTTTAGGACAAATTTATCGGTCCTCAAAATTCCAACAGAAATCTTTGATTAAAATTGAATTTACTAGATTAATTTGAACAGACATATCAATATTAAGTCATCCTATTCAAAAAT